AAAATATTAATAACGAAACTGGTTAGACTTGTAGAATTGTTGACCAAGTAATAGGATGTTCTGCTAATTGGCAGTTGGAAAACGAAGCGGGGTGTGGTGCCGACAAAATGAACACTTGCACGGGGAAACCTGATGCTGCCGCACTGGTAGAGCGCACCTGTATTGCAGGTGATGTTGCCGACGTTAGGGTCCAGTTCGGCAGGGCTGGGATTTCGAATAGCAGCGCTGAGCAGAAAGTTCCCTGCGTTACAGTCCAAGCTCTCTCCTGTGACTTTGCGAGCGGCTAAGTATTGAATTCAACTTTCTGATCTTGGGGAGTGTCTCTAAACACACGGGTATTGTGCTGGAATTATTTGAAGCATGCAGACGTCCAGTTTCACGTAAGACCGGCGGACACATGGCTTTAGCCACATGCTTGGGCTGAACAAAAATCTCTTCAGAATTCTTTGCCTTCACACCTCTTTGGTAAAGGAAACAGATTATGGGATTCTCTTTCTTGGGAGTTCATTTCTATACATTTATTTTTTTATCTTGTAGATTATTGATGTCCACGGGCTTGTTTGCCAAGCAATATAGTGCTCTCCCTGGTAAGCTCAGTAATTGAAAGTCTTTTGTGCTTTGTAGGTTGGCTTCTAAATAGGTCAAAATCAGCAGGAGATCTTCATAACCAAAGCAATTAGGATTTTAACCCTTTATCCTACATGCCTTATAGACAGTAGAATATAATAGAAGTTGACTAATAGGCTGCTGTGTGCCATGAGCAACCACTGAAAGTCAGAGGTTTCTAGTTCCCGGCTTACAACTGAGATCTTGCTGTAGTGGAAAATTACTGAATTATGGTGTGCAAGGAGAGAGGGTCAGCTTGGGGTTGGCCCAGCAAGATGGTGTTGTTGAAGAGATCTTTTTCAGTAGCGATCGTGTGCTGCTGCCAGGTCAGTGGTTTGGGGCATTGGCTGGGCTCTGATTTAGAAGGAAGTTGTGCAGCTCTGAAGACAAGTACTTCAAAACATGTGAAAAGAGGTGAGAAGTTTAAAATGTTCCCTGACATGTTCCTCCTCCACCTGCTTTTCCTATTGGAAAGGAATTATGGAGAATACCTATGTAAGAATTGTTTGGTGCTGTCGGTAACTATTTGCTCTGAACTCGTATGTTGTTCCTTTGCAATCTTTTTGTTGTGTGCAGTAGTAGATAGAAAAAGCAGCAGGAAAAAAGTTGATCATTGGAGGTTAATTATAATTTAAAACAGGATTTGTGTTGTTAATGGAGCTGTTTAACAGAAACAGATTTGTACAAACAACCCTTCCCCCACCTTTTGCATGTGCGATCTTCCTGTTTACAGTAATCTGCTTCTCTGGGATTACCTCTCTCTTAACAGAGACTCGAAGCAATACTCATTTTACCCGTAGCTTCCTACCTAATACAGGAGAGGCTCTGTTAATCCAGCCCCTTTGCTGGACATTGGGAAGTAAGTTAGTGGCATCAGTTTATTCACTGTGCCTGTGTGCAAAAGGGGAAGCCAGCGAGCAATTTTCTTTCATTGTTACTTACAGCTTCAGAATATCAGATGAGGCTTTACAGCAGCAGAAAACCATTATTTCTGTATAATTATTGCCTATATTGATTGGGATGCTGCTGATTTAGGCACAAGTCAATGATTTGCTTTGCAGATCTATCAATAGATGAAATATATACCACGGTGCTAACAAATGCATGTACTTATGTTTGTAAATGCGTGTGGTTGCATCTAACCAACAACTTTACAACATTGCTGTGGTGTTTGTGGAAGATAAAGTGCCAATTGTAAGCCACTTAATCAGTTTATTGAGCTGTTTTAAATATGGTAACTTCAAGGGATTGCTTAAACAGATGGACGTTCCTCTGCCCCAGGACCCTGAGTTAACAAAACTAACCGCGCTCCAGCTGATCTGCAACAAAAGAAGACGTTCAAAGCTAACTAGTTGGAGGAGCAGCGAAGGAGAATAGATGCTACTATAAGATTTAACTTGCGAGATGGGGTGTGGAGGCAAGGAGTACAATTGCTGTGCGTACCTGCCTTTGCCCTCACCCTGTCCCCGGAGGCTGTTCGGAGGCATTCTTGGAAGATGCCTCGCTCTCTCCCGCTGTCTTTAACTGTCTGGCTTTCGTTAAACTCGGTGTAGGAAAGGAAGAGGAGGGACTTCTTTCTTTCTGGAAAGGTCACCTTTGCCGCATCTGCTGAGCGGCCTCCCTGCGCCTGCTGCCTCTCCCGGCTGCCGGCCCCCCCTAATCTCCTTACAGGAGGCTGCACCATGGCAACACGCACCCGGGAGCCTCTTCGTGTCACCCGCGGGGCCGGGGGGGAGCACAGCCGACGAGGAGAGAGATTTCTTTACCGGTGCGGCTGTGACTTTTCTTCTTGCCCCAGCGTATCTGCCTGGCATGATGCTCGTCTGAAATTTGTAACCTAAGGCTTGAGGAAGAACCTCCTCCTGGATTTTTGTGCTTTTCTTCCTCTGCCGGCAGGATTTATTATCCGAGATGTAGCCCAGAGAACGAAGTTTGAAAGGAAGGGCTGTGACATGTGGCACCGCTATGATTTGGGGATGCACTGCTAAGTGGCTGTACAATTGTTTCATGTAAGGTGTGCTTGATTTGTCTTACTCCAAGTGCAGCCTCCGCTTAACTGGGATTTGTAAAATCTCTTTTTCTTTCTCCTTTATTTGGTAATTATTTTTCTTTCCTTCCTCTTCGCCCTCTTTGTCACCACTCCACGCTTTTCTTCTCTGACAAGGAGCTAAGGCTGGAGTTGGCTGCAGGCTCTCCGCCAGCTCCCCTGCATCATGCACCAAAGTACTTTGTTAGAACTGGAATTGCTGAGAGTTTGGGCTCGGGACAGAAGCCAAGTGACCTCAGCATTGCTTTCTTGAGAGGAGAAATTAGAGAGGATTTTGCAGAGATGATATTAAAGTGGTGTATTGTGGTGTGTTTATTTTAGACTTGCCCTAGCTTAACTGCAGCAAGCGTTCAATTATACATGGCTGAGGTTTTAGGTTTGCGTTGGTACAGCTGCTGCTGTAACCTGTTATAACGAAGCATGTACAGGGCAGCCAATGCATTTGTACCAGTGCTGCTGGTTTGCATTTGAAATCAGTGTCTTTGTAATATGCCTCTGATGAAAGGTTTTTGCTGCCTCCACCTAGGTCATTCAATATATTAAACGGGAACAAAGTTGTCCCTTACTGTTTAATAAATCTTATCAAACATGAATCTACTAAAATACCTTCTGCGTTTCATTTTGTGCAAAAGAGCAGTCAGATGAACTTTGCTTGTTGCTTTACATGTATCCTTCGTGATACCCAAGTTTTTGTTAAGAACCCTTTAGAAGTACTGAAGACAGCCTTAGAAGTACTGAAGACCCCTTTTCCAAATGTTTTTTTTTTCTTAACTTTCTGGTTCCCTGTAGGATTGCTCAAGGGCAGGAGGAATTTGATTTTGCTAAGGTTACAAAATATGAGGGTTTTCTTCTATAAGAGATGTGAGGGAAATATGTAAAAACTACTTACTTTTCAAAATCAAGGAAGCTGTTAGAGGTGCTTTTCACTCCTCTGTCAATACATTGAATGAAAGAGGAAATACTGTGAGGACTAACACAGGTGAGAAAGCATTGTTTCAGAGCATGGCTTTTCTCTGTGTATATAGAAAGCTGATGTCTTCCTACTTTTACATCTGTTTTTTGTGCTCGGTCACACTTGCTGGATGTGCAGCTATTCGTATGGACACACTTCCATGGATCACTGAACAGGCATAGGGACCAGCATGAGTTTCAATATCTTTAAAAAATATAGACCTGCCAGGTAAACAGCTCCTTTTCTGCTAAGATGGGACTTGGTGCTCTTCTTCCTTGTTGCTCAACTCTGAAGGCTTTGACTGAGTTCCAGCTAGAGGAAAAATAAGATGTGTGTACACATCATGTTTGTCTTTTGAAGTAGAAATGGTAGTTGTGCTTCAAGTATCATATAACTATTGCAGAAGCTTATAGTCCAGGTGTTAGCTTGGAGTTAGAAGGAACACAGATGAAGCCACTGTCACCTATAAATTGAGCATGTTTTACAGTGCTGTCTGCCAGCAGAACTCCCTACTACGCACAAATGTTGCATTAAATCGAATCAGGATAATAAAGAAAGCGTTAGAGCACATTTTATAATGTTGATGTTGGTTGCAAAAAGCTACGGCATAATGGAGGGAGGGATATGTCTTTGAGAAGTGTTCAAGAACTGGTGGGGACAAAGAGAAGACTGCCTTGATAAAAAGGTACGGTGCGTTTGGGGGATGCCAGCTCTAGTAGAGCTCAGGGATTTACAGGACAGTTAACTGAAAAAGAGAAGCGGTATGTGTTAGTGAGAGAAGGTTGAAAAAGAATGGAGGTATCAAAAAAATCGGAAACTGTTCAAACTGGAAGAAACAGCTGAAGAAGAAAATGCAAAATTTAAATGTAGGTAACTGACTTGAGCATTGTGAAGTGGGAAATAATTTGCATATTTGACTTTAGTGTAAAGACTTTGTATGTTAAGAGAAATCAAGTGTTTTGCAGGGGGATCGTCTGCTCTAATGAGAGTAGTTAACATTCTGCATTGGTTTAGAGATTTAGAGATTGGTGTGCTTTTTGCTGCTAACATGTAACATTAGTAAATATTTTCAGTAATATATCCAAGCCTATCTGGGGGGGGTTGCTGTAAATTTCAGCAGTTAATTTCTGAACTTTTTGCTTTGCCATTCTTTCACTGATGGCTCAGCACCTACAATTTCTAGGTCAGTGGGAATGGACTGCCTGGGCTTGTGTAGGTGGATTTTTCCTTAGGAGTCTGGGATTACTGCCCTAATGTTGTTTTCATAAGGTTTGCAGGCTAATTGTAGAAATCGTTCTGAATAAACACCAGGTTGCAGCTTTCTCTGGGATCTCGCCAACTCTTTTGGTAATTGTGAGAAAAATAATGTTTCCTTTCCCCCGTGTTCTCCTACAGGTCACGTGGATTGCCAAAGCTGAAAGAGTCCCGTTCCCATGAGTCTTTACTGAGCCCAGGCAGCGCTGTGGAGGCCCTGGATCTTGGGTCAGAAGAAAAAGTCTTTGTCAAACCACTACACAGCAGTATCCTTGGACAAGACTTCTGCTTTGAGGTAATGAACGCTCGCCAAACACGCAGCCGATTATATGCTGTCAGTCGGTCTGAAGCCTTGCAGTACGCTGTTCTGTGACTTTGTAATTAGAGAACACATCAGCAGCCGCTGCTGTCCTGAGGTTTGGGTGGGGGCTGTCTAACCAGCGTGAGATTTTGAAGTCCTGGAGGCTAATGGCATCAATCACTCGATAGAGAGAAATCTTTTTCAATTACTATGTTTTCTAATCGAAAAATCTCTTTAATTTGATACATATCTAAGTGTTTGTAGTTTGCATGCAAATGTATCATCCAAATTCACCTACAATTAAATTTAGAAAATATACCGTAACTGAGAAAGGTGATTTCCAGTCAAAGCACCCTTTCATTAGCTCAGCCTGTTAGCCGATTGCTAGAGGAGAAACTTCGGTGACTGCGGACGTGTCCATTGCACCATGGAGCAGGATGCAAAGATCCTCTTGCTCTTTCAGCACAGGCTCCTCACCGCACATCACCACGCGGCTCCTCACTTTGCTTCGGAAACAGGCTGTTTGTGTGAGCACAATCCTTACCTCACAGGACCAACAGCATATTCGTGTCTGCTATTCGGATGTGTCTAAGGCCGTCGTAATCTGTCATGCAGGGGCGGGTGACAGTCTGTCTTCGGCAGGATTAGTCAGATGCGTCTAAACTTCTGGAACAAAGATCTGTTTACAACCTGGAAAACTGCTCTGGCAGAAAACCAGCATATCGGGCCCTTCTCCCTCGGGACATATCCAGGAACTGTTTGTCTTCGCTTCAGTCTAATTCTTCTGGTTGGAAGCACTTTCCAGCTTGCTTAGGTTTGGGGAGTTGAGTGAAAAAACTGGCAACACCTTAGCTGTGAGGCTGTTGCCTCAAAGTGCTTTTTAATTGTGTGCACAAATGAATGGAAAGAGCAAGTGAAGCTTGTCAGGCCACGTAAACGTGAAAGAAACCAAGGTGGTTCCCTCCTGTGTGAAAGCAGAGTTGCGTGTCGGTTGTCGGGGCCGAATCAGAGCACAACTCCTTCAGTTTGTTTTAGACTGTTGCGGTATATATGGACCCTTGGAAACAGTTTGTATTTCCTTAAAACACCGTTTTCCAGTGTCTTTTGCCTTATATTAATGCGTTGTTAGTTCTGTCTGTCTTTACACTGTTAGTAACCAAATCATCTGCCTCTGGGACTTAACAGGGAAAACTGCAAGCATTTAATAGCTATGGATCAATTAGCAAGTGTTTTTTAAAAATAAATTAACTGGTTGACTAAAGCCTTGTTTAGAAGTCTTCAAGAGGAGCCTCTGGTGCTCCTCGTATGTTTCTTTAGTTTTATATTAATTTGAACCGACTTTTTTTTTCTCTCTCTACATTTTGTGGGCCTTTTAACCTTTCTGCCTTCTAGGCTCCCATATTGGTTTTCTACTTTTTTCATATTTACTTTGTTACTCAAGCATTGCTTATCTTCTTCCTTGCTTTTGGCAGCCTCTTATGTGTCTCCTAGGCTTGCCTGAACTCAGCCTGTCGTTTATATGTTCCAGGTAACCTACTCCAGTGGCAGTAAATGCTTCAGTTGTTCCTCTGCAGCAGAGAGGGACAAGTGGATGGAAAACCTACGCAGAACAGTGCAGCCAAATAAGGTAATAGAAACTGCGGAAATAAGATTACCAGGGGAATGGAGGTGGTATGATTGGATTTTAGTCCAGTGTACCAGGGCTTCCCACAGATGCATCCTCAATTAATTTAGTCCGGGGAGAAGTCCGCTCATCAGTGTATCAAAAGCTGCTGTGTGCTATTCTAGCGAGTGCAGTAGGTCAAATCTTTAATGAGTAAATACATGCTGGCATGCTTCCTGATCTCTGCCCCAGTGCCTGCTTACGGTGTTTCAGACTGGGTTTCTGATACTGTGCACCTCAGAAGGATGGGACATGGCTTCATAGGTTTCATGTTTTACTGCAGGGGCACAGTTAAAGGGGGGAGGGTGAAGGGAATTTGAGCTGGAGTGAGAAGGGGAGTCAAGTTATTGATCAGCTGGAAATATCTGATAAGTCCCCTTCGTAGTTGGCATACCACCTTTGAGGGACAGGCTAACAGTGCTCTTGGAGTTATTCACAAGAGTAAACTATGCAGCGTGCCCTGCCAGTCTAGTGGCTTTTGAGTGGCTCTGCACTCCTGTGCAGAGTGTTTGTTTTCTAAACCATTTCAAATATGGCTTTTTGAGAAGAAAAACGTTCCAGTCCCCACCTTTGACATACAAAAGACAACCCTGTGCCTGTACTTTAGAAAATGTCCAATTTTCTAGAGATTCTGTTCTGAAGATCAGAGAATCCGATTCTGAATTCTGATTCTGTCCCCGCCTTGGACACCAAAGGCAGCCCTTTGCTGCTGCTTTAGAAGACAAAATGTTCAATATTTAGGGATTCTGAATCAAAGCTGAGCTCTTTCTTCTGCACAGGACAACTGCCGTCGAGCTGAAAATGTGCTCCGTCTCTGGATTATTGAGGCAAAGGACCTGGCCCCCAAAAAGAAATACTTCTGTGAGCTGTGCCTTGATGACACTCTCTTTGCCCGCACCACCAGCAAAACAAAAGCAGATAACATTTTCTGGGGAGAGCACTTTGAGTTCTACGGTCTACCACCTCTTCACAGCATCACAGTTCACATCTACAAGGATGTGGAGAAGAAGAAGAAAAAGGACAAGAACAATTACGTAGGCCTGGTCAACATTCCCATGGCCAGCGTAACCGGTCGCCAGTTTGTGGAAAAATGGTACCCAGTCAGCACGCCCACGCCCAACAAGGGGAAATCAGGGGGACCTTCCATTCGGATAAAGTCCCGTTATCAGACCATCACCATCTTACCCATGGAGCAATACAAAGAATTTGCAGAGTTTGTTACCAGCAACTACACTATGCTGTGCTCTGTGCTGGAACCTGTGATCAGCGTAAGGAATAAGGAAGAGATGGCTTGTGCTTTGGTGCACATTCTTCAGAGCACTGGGAGAGCTAAGGTAAGAACAGGTGGCTCCTGTCAAAACAACTCTCTCTCACTGCTGATAGGTGGTGTCTTTTCAGCTATAAACTAGGAAGCCCATCACCATAAGCAACAGCAGAAGATGCCTCATGGGGTCAGGCTGAGAAAAGGGTCTCAAAAGTATTTGAAAAGACTTGGGCAATTGCATCTACCAGGAAGGCATGTAGATAGGCACAATACCAACAAGGATTAATAGTTGAGAAAGATTAAAGATGCTGTGCACAGAGTATAAGCAGGAGGACTACATAACTTCATGTTATTCTGAAAAGTTAGGGCCTGCATTGGAGTGTTCTGGAACCTTTCTGCATTTCTAAAACCATGATACAGGATAAGAGATAAGTAAGCAAGAAATTAGTAAAACGGAGAGTTACTTCTATAAATAAGTCTCTGATGAGCAGCAGGGTGCCATTGTTGATTCAGTGCTAAGTCAGCTAATCAATGCTAACATTGATTTGGTCAGCATTTGAACAGCCATTTGGAGAATCTATACTCAGTTAATGGTGATCCCACCTGCCCCAAGGATGTTATTAGGACTTCTGGGTGCACGCCGATGGTTCTTGGTGAGGCAGCAATTGGAGTGAGCATCAGTTTCTTCAAATAGATTGCGGGAGAGTATTCTGTAGGTCTTGGGAAATTCTGAGAAGCATTAACAAGCATTGATTTATCTGGATGCTGCCAAGTGAGTGTGTTGAGTAGTACCAAGCTGTAGTCAGCTTCCTCCAGTAATGCCAGCTAGAACAAGTTAAGCATAACCAAACACAACTTAGAGGGTTAGAGATGTGGAAGGATGGCCGTAAGGAACATCCAAGGTACAGCTTAATTTAGCTGTTCCGAGAAGGTCCTTTTCTGTTTGCATAATCATATGCCACTCTCTACTGTTCTCCCCTTGATGTACGTCTTAGAGAGGCTGGTGCCCTATGGCAACGTGTGATAGGAACTCGTTCCTTACCAAGTTGTTTGTTGGATAAAGAGAAGCTGGTAGCTGGGATAGTTCCTGTAGGGTTGTGTTGAAATCCTGCTGGAAAACAGCCTCTGGAATCTTGCAGTGCTAGCTGCAGCAGGTAGACAAATTAGTGTTATAACTTTGCCTTCCTAGTGCCTGAACATTTGAACCTCTATTTACTGGAGTCTGCCGCAACCTGAAGCTGCAAAGAGGGTACATTTCCAGTTCAGACTATGTTGGTGGTGACGCAGCTGGATGTTCCCGGTTTGCGCCAAGTGAAAATAATTCTCTCAGATTTTGCTGAAAAGAAACAGCAATAATGGATTGAAAACCAAGAGTACTAAATGTATTTTTGGTCTGTATTTATCACAAATAATTTGTTCTGTGTATTTTGCACTCATGCTAGCAGTGCATTATGACTTCTGTAGTTAATGGGGTTATGAAACCTTACTACAGCACTCTTTGAACTGTTTGGAGGATGCTGCCGTTTGCAGCAGAACCAGCAAGTCAGTTATCACTCAGCCCTAATTCAGGGTGGTGTTTTGTTTTTGGTTTTTTTGTTTTTTTTTTTTTTTTTTTTTTTTTAACAGTTGAAAAAAAAAAAAAAAAAGGAGAGAGAGAAATGTGCTTCCTCTCTTGGGGAACTTTATTGGGGCTGAAATTGCAAAATACCTAGTGTTTCTTGTGAAGAGCTGAGTGTCCTTGACTTACATCACTTCAGGAAATAAGTATTACTGTAGAATTAGAGCCTGTATCAAGAGGTTATTCACTGTTTCAAGAGCTGCTGATTGTTCCTGCCTGGGCATTTGAATACAGTTCAAGTTAAGCCATATAGATCCACAGGAAGTGTGTTAACGTTTTTCCCAAATCCTGAACCACTTTTGGTTTTTTAAGTTAATTGATGTAAGCCATTCTTCTTATGTAAATTTCACCAAGCTGTAAGAACTTGTGCCTAACTTCCATCTTGGATTTTTAAATCCAAGTTTGTGTGTAATATTCAGTATTCAAAGATAACTATATCACAGTTTCTTTCAGCAGACAAAGCCGCTGATGGATAAACTGGCAAGGGTTTCTGTTCGGGATCTAAACTGAAACACAAACTTGTCTGTAAAGGTTTTCTTTTAGAGACTTCTACTTCTCCCTTTATAATTTGTAATCTGTATAATTTTATAAGTATAAACCCAAGAGGAGCCCTACCTAGCTGTTTCCTTGACCCATACTACATGTAGCATCTTCACGCCGTGTCCCAAGCTGGGCAATTATTTCAGTAATCCTCTGGCTCCTCTGTTTATCCTTCCTTCTTGGCTTCTGCAGTTAGCCTGGCATGACTGAGTCCGCTTAAAATAACCGCTTGCCGTTTGACCTTTTTCTTCAGGACTTCTTGACGGATTTGGTGATGTCTGAGGTAGATCGTTGCGGGGAGCACGATGTCTTGATCTTCAGGGAGAACACACTTGCTACCAAAGCTATTGAGGAATACCTAAAGTTGGTAGGGCAGAAGTATCTTCACGATGCACTAGGTAAGAAAGTGCCTGTCTGTCAGCTGTTTGTGTTGCAAGGACTAACCCTACAACGTCTGCAACGTGGCTGAAGCCTCATGCATGTAGGAACGTGGGATGGGAAGGAGCTGCCTCAGTACTGAGCCCAGGTGTCTCGCATCAAGTCAGCAAAATACATGCTGTCTTACTCTTGATGCCCTTCCTCCACACAGCGGAGGATGCTTTTTGGTGCCTGCAGGAGTAGCACCCAGGGCAAGGCAAACTTGATTTGATATAGCTGAATCCCTCTTAAAGTTTGTATCACAACAGTATTTCTCTGGGTAACCTTCTTTTGTGTCTCTAGTTGGGATGAAGAGGTATAATTCTATAAATTGATTTGTGAGCAACAGTGATTGTTCCATCTGATATACAAACAGGCTTATGAAGGGGATTTTGATACATATTTTAACAGCGGAAATTGAGACCGATACCTTGTGTTGTGTCAGGACTGAATCTGGTATCATGTGCAATCCAATTAGGTGGAGATTTCAGAAAGGGTTAATGAATGTGAAGCATATATTTCACTGATCTCCTTTTATGCTAAAGAAGTTCCTGCACTCACTGGAGGCTGAAGTGCCACCACCTAGGGGTTAGATATACTCAGGGGTATCTGGTTGACAACCAAAGTTCTCATCCACAAGTGCATACTGCTGGGGCGTTTCCGGTCAGTCTCTTCCACTTGCTCTTGTAGTTAACAGCAAATATTAGCTATGGTGTTAACAACTGTTAAGCATGAAATGCCCACCTTACTGCTTGGGTTGAATGCAGGTAGTACAAGAAAATTCATTTCCAGATGCTTCAGCTGCAACTATTGGTAATGCTGGCACGTTCCAGAGCAACCCTTGGCCTTGCTCAGCCCTTACCTTTGCCACAGAGCAATTAATTCATAAACACTCGTGTTAACCTTTTAAAATGGTGCCTTGCCCCAACAAAAATCCTTAGACAAACATGGCCCGAGTGAGTGAGGCTGCAGGGCTACTGAGGAGCAGTAATGGGCAGGAGATCAAGACGCAGACTGTCTAGGGAGCCTCCTGGCTATGTTTATTCAGCGCACTCTTTATTTACCACCTCGTTAAAACTGCCTAAGCAACCTGTGGTGTCTTACTCCATTCTCCCGTGGGGTCTTAATGTCCATGGTTGCATACCAGTGTGGATTCTAATAATTGTATTATTGTCCCCTCTCCACCAAAAGATTCTGCTCTAGTCATAAGCCACTGCCTTGGGGAACTACTGTCCACGCAACTAATATTGCAATAAAGAGGACCAAAAACATGCGTGTTCTTTTCCGAAGAAACTCACAGCCTCGCTACAGTGAGCTTTTACCAACTCCACACAATCTTTGTTATCCACAATTGCACAATGAGCCACCCATCCCCCTGTTGCTTCTTGGATGAAGAAAGCTTTGGAAAATGATATAAGAGAAACATGATCAGACCAAAACTCAGTCCCACACCACATCCTTTCACAAAAAAAAACCCCAAAAAAACAGCAGTTTGCTTTCCCAACAGTCTCGCTTGTCCTCAGCAATCCCAGACGCTGGCAACTCATCAAGGAGATAGTTGGCTAAAGTAGCGCTCCAAGGGGTCAGTACAGTCAGGTCTGTGATTATATGCATTTTGGCCATTTCTAAGTGTACTGAGCCTGTTCCGGTAGCCTTATTCTCATGGGTGGAACCCTGCACACAAGTCACAGTCCTAGGCTCATGGTTGGTATGGAGAAATGAGCAGCATAATACTTTGTACTATGCTTTTCGGCAGACTGAATGATCAGCTGTGGGATCAGTATATTGCATTTGACTGCAAACCCCTTAATGTGCAATAATGACATAAAAATACTTTAAAATTAATGACTTCTAATACATCATTTAGAGGATTGGTGCTGAGTGATAAGGTTGTAAATCATAGACATGAGAGATGGAAAATCCCCCTAAGGTCATTCAGCTTGTCTGTAGCTTAGGGCAAGATTGCGCGTGACAATATAGCCATCTAATTCTTGTCAAGTTTTAAATGTCATTTTGTTCAGATGCCATGTTCTTTGAAAGGATTAACAACATTACGCTTGGTGTTAGCTATGTAATGCATCTGTAAGAGCATCTCAATATATGATTAAGGCAGGGTCTTGTGGACCACAAAGAGAACGTTTCAAATGTGTTTAAGGAAAAAAAGAAATTATCCAGTAAGCAACAGTTAAGACAGAATTGGCTCAACAGAAGTGATGCTGGGAGTTTTGCAAATAAGTGATCTAGATGCCCTCAGCAGAAATTTTTTGGACACCCCCCCCACCCCACCCCCCCCCAAAAAAAAAAAGCTTAAGAAAATGTGCGCTCTGCTTTGCTTGCGAGAACACTGCTGAGTTGAGATTCAGGGAGGGGGGTTGGGATGTGTTTAAGGGTTTTTACGAAAACAAAGACAAAAAACCAAAACCCTTTCGCACAAACAAGCTTTGTGGTGTTTGCTTGGAGCCAGCAAGATCATCTGAGGAGATGAACTTAAAAGACATTGAATCATTAAATGAATTAAGAGTTTTTCCTGGTGAACAACAATTTAAAGATCACTTGGTGTGCTAGCATATATAGGAGGAAACCTAGTAAGTAGTTCGTTCCAATATGTCAAACAAGGGAAACTTCATCTGGTTTTGTAAGTGTCCCGTTTCTGTTGTGATGCCGTAAGAGAAGGGTGACAGAAATGCAAAGGATTTTGAAAGACTCAGGCTATAAAAATGTAAGGTGTTGATAAAAGAGTTTGAGAAAATTAGCAGTATCTACTATCGCTTGGGTATTACTCTTACTCAAGGTGACACTTTTTAAAATTCAAAAAAATGGTAAGTTTAGATATAATAAAAATAAATAGCATTGTCAAGTGCATTTCCTGGGGAAATTATGAAGACAGATAGCACAGCTTCATTTCTAAGACTGGATAATTTTATAGTTGCTAATACAATTTGAATACAAAGTCAAATCCTATTCTTTACGCTGTAAGTGAAGTGTCTGCAGGGTTTATAAGCAAAGCCATCTTGTTATTGCGGCTATATTTGGGGGCAGCGAGGGCACGGGAGGCTGAAGCATCAGAGCAGCGGCCGTCTGATCTGGTAGGGCAAGTGCTGTGCTCTGAAAGAGCTGGGAGGAGTCGTGTCCCCAACATCTGGTGTCTGGAGGCTGTGTTGCAGACACAGGGAGCAGAAGAGGCAGTTGCCAAGGAAAGACATAAGCAGGATTTAAAGATGTGTCAAGGAGGCTTTTCGTGTAACTACCCTGGTTTGTCATCCTCTTCCCTTTGTCCAGGGGAGTTTATCAAGGCTTTGTATGAGTCAGATGAAAACTGTGAAGTGGATCCCAGCAAATGTTCATCCAGTGAATTAACAGATCATCAGAGCAACCTGAAAATGTGTTGTGAGCTGGCCTTCTGCAAGATTATCAATTCTTACTGGTGAGGCATCTCCCCTCCCCTTCTCCCGCATTAGGTAATTTGCTTAGAGGGTGCCCATTCCTCCTCTGAACATAAGAAAACAGCAGTTGTGCAGGGAAATAGCATAGACCCATCTATCTTCTGAGACTGCCTTTGTTTCCTTTCCTCACTACCTTCCTACATGTGGCACCATATTGCAGGTGGAACTTGTGCCCAAATTGAGGGGAACCAGTCCCACACACTGTACCTGACAGGACCTTCTGCTGAAATGCTTTGCCAAGGGAACAGATACTGAGCCATGGCTGAGTAAAGTGAGAAGATAACAGCTTAGCTTGAACTTGGAATAAAAAGCTGAAAGTTTTGATGTCTATAGAAAACTTTCAGACCCTTTAGATCTGTAGAATTGAACAGGAAATCACAGGGAAGAAACAATGGCAGAGAGATTTCCATTAATCTGTGTTTCTGAGTAGCAGTGAAAGAAGAAGGGCCTTTCTGCTTCCAGATGAAGCACAGGCGAAACACTGAGAGAGCTTAACAAGCAGAATAAGAATTTCCGTTATGGAGATGAGTTCAGTTTGGTTCAGTTTGTTTTTCGTATTCTAATGCCCTGTTTGCTCTGGGGTAGCGATGGCTAAGTAGTTCTTGGCTCACAAATCAGTGTATCTGCAAATGGCTTCACTTAACATATATGAACAAGGGATGCTTTAAAGACTACTTATCACCAGATTAAGTGGGGAATCTAAGAATAGATACCTAATGACATTTCCTAGCCTAGAGAGAGAAAAGAGGGGGCAAAAAAAAAGAGGAGCAGGTGTTGTTTTCTTACAGGTAATTATTTCAGGTTGTTGGTCACCAGTTCAACTTGTTGCATCTCATTGCCTATGAGATTTTATTTCCTGCTTTGTTGTTTTTCAGTGTATTTCCTCGTGAGCTGAAGGAGGTATTTGCATCTTGGAAGCAGCAGTGCCTGAACAGGGGCAAGCAGGACATCAGTGAACGCCTGATCAGTGCTTCCCTCTTCCTCCGCTTCCTGTGCCCTGCTATCATGTCCCCCAGCCTCTTTAGCCTCATGCAGGAGTATCCTGACGACCGGACATCTCGCACACTCACACTTATTGCTAAAGTCATTCAGAATCTCGCCAATTTTGCTAAGTAGGTGGTGGCAATAAAACTGAAATCTGTGCCTCTAAGGGTGCAAGTCACTGCAGGTTACTATGGAGCAAGGAGAGCCCTGCTTGGCAGTCAGGTTTGCAGGCAGCTGGTTCTCTAGCAAACTGAAGTCAGCTTTAGAAAAGAAGGAAACTTCTCACTTATATGTGAATGCTGTTCCCCTTGAGACACCTCAGTGCTGAGCTAGATAAATTCTCCTTTTCACATGCAGATTTTGAACTGTGTTGAATTCAGTAGAGGAGACACAGTATAAAACCAAGAAGAGCCATGCATTAGCACGTCAGTGCATATGCTAGTTCAAAAGAAACAAAGCCTGCTCCCACTAAGGATCATGATTTTTCTCCTTTCTTCCTCCAGAATTCCCAGCTGAATGATACAAAGGGCATAGCATGTCTGGTACAGGAGAGGAGATGCAGAGAAGGGGAGGAGAGAAAGGCGGGGTGTGGGAGAAAAGGGGTAAAGATGTGTTGAGCCCTTGATCGTAATATGAACCATGAATTCCTAGTATTTAAGTAAGTCCAAGAAAGCGGTGAATCTCTTGTTTATTCCCCCCCACCCCCCACCCCGACTAAATCTTCAGAAAGGGAGGTCTCAAGTTAAGCATTTAAGTAAAGGCCTGTAAGCGCTTGTACTCTGTATTTTGTGTGGAGGTTATTGACTGGGTTTCCCCCCTCCCTTTCTTGCAGGTTTGGTAACAAGGAAGAGTATATGGCCTTCATGAATGACTTTTTGGAACATGAGTGGGGAGGAATGAAGCGTTTTCTCCTGGAGATCTCTAATCCAGATACCATCTCAAACATGCCTGGATTTGAGGGCTACATCGACCTGGGCAGAGAGCTCTCAGTTTTGCATTCCCTCTTATGGGAGGTTGTGTCCCAACTTGATAAGGTAAAGCAGGCTGGAGGCCCGGGAGGGTGAATCCGGCGATTGTATCGTAGCAACAGTAAACACTAGGAAACATCAAGGGAGCAGCTGAAGCCAAGCCTGCTTTGGGGAGAACTTATTCAACAGCTTTTGAGAGGAATGTTTGATAGTGGTATTTCACAATTGTTCTTTACGTGATTTCAGATCAAGGCCCCAATCGGGGCATGTGAAGTGGTTGGGCTTCAGCAGTAGTGCAAACACTTTGCAGAGCCTTAAGTAAGGCTGTGTGTTCAATGGTGGAGAAGGCAGCACTTAAAAGTAGGCCTGGAATTCCCTGAGCAGCCCGTCCTTTCTCATAAGTGAGCTGGAAAAATAAGGAGGGTGTTTGGACAGAAAATGAAAATGTTTCTGTGCCCTTTTTGATGCTAATGGAGGTATTTTGCTGCACGTGAGGCCCTACCTTGCCCAGCTCTGGAGTAATGTGTTGGCCAGGCAGAACTGTTCTCATTAAAGACCTGATCTGAAGCCCTTTGGGATGTTCTGATTTATGTAGTCTTTGGATTAGTTATTAGTACACAAGAGAATGCCATGCAAAAACCTGGTTGCGCTCTCAGTTTTATCCTGTAAAAAAAAGCAAGATGCTTTTTGCCATGTATTGTGCTGGGGTCATATGCGTTTTTCGGATTCTGTTCTGCTGATCACAATAGATATTGCCGACAATAAGCATTGCTTCCATTTATCTGCAGGAGGAGAAAAGGCAGTAGTTTGCTCTTCCTTAGCTATGTGGCTTTGCAGGGTCCACAATCATTAAAACCTTGATAGCAAAGGTAGTTGGTAAGACCCAGAAAAGCTGAGCTGTGAGTCATTATTTTTTGGCAAGTGCTTGGAACTTATTTTAACTTTTAGAGGTGCATTATTTTGTCCATATTCCATTTACATTATTCTTTCTTTTGAAACTGGAGAGGTGAGGTGAATTGCAATGCACTCTTAATATTTTTTTATTGCATCAAGGTTTGCCAAAATAGTTATTTGTTGGGGTTTTATTTTCTCACAGTATACATTATTTAAAACAAAAAAAAAAAACAACCCTGAGCTTGTTGCATCAGAGTAAATTGAAATGTCCTTGACTTGAAAAGGCAATATATATTAATCTTAGTTAATCTTAGGTTGATAACAATGTATGATCTTGTTTTTCCGTTTCCCTCATACATGCACACAGTGTACATGCGAAATGTCACAGGCAGCAAAGTCAGCTGTAAAGACAGTTCAGCAGCCTCAGGAAAACAGGCAAAGTGAGACTCAGAAGACCAGATCTTCCATTTCTACAAACTGGGGTAAACTCACCCGTGCAGGGAGTACTGCCATCTCCCTCCGAGCTGGTCAGGCGTCAGGTCAAGAGAAATCCAGCTCCAGTCTTTAGAACTGTAAAAGGATCTTTGGACCCGGTGTTAGTTACTGCAAGCTGCTCTCTGAATGCAACGGTCATCTATGTCTTGGGCAGCGAGGAAAGGGAGGAGCCAGACCTGGATGAACTGTCAAAGCAGATCTGCTTTGCCCTTTCTGTAGGTTAGAGGCATGGATCCATCCTAACAGGCCCTTGGGAGCCGGTATAGTGCTTTGCTAAAAAGAGAATTAAGGGGTAAGGTTACATTGCAATGCTGCTTTATTGTAGGTAATGACTGGGAAACGATGAGAGAAGTCACCTCAGAGATCTTAATAGACACAGAAGAAGTGCTGTACGAAAGCGTCTGTAAAGAGACCTTTCTCTGGAGCCACACTGACCGAATACCTGCTTACAGGAAAAATAAGGATATCTTTGAAAAGAGCATTGTCTTTCTAGTGGAGTTTTACTTTCTTATAAACCTCCAGCACTTTCACCTTCTTCCTGCAGTCCCAAGAGGCTGAAGATGCCCTGTAGATGATATAACCAGCAGTGACCCAAAGTGGGGAGAAAGATAAAGAGCCTGAACAAGCAGCCTTCCTTGCTGGAAGGTCAGCTGCTCTTATCCTAGGCCTGGCCAACACTGAGCTAAGACATAATTGAGCAAGAAGCTACACATTTAATCCCAGGCTGATGTGATTACGTTGGGATGAGGATTATTGATGTTTTCACGCAGTTATTTTTCACTTTTAGGTAGGGAAGAATGCCTTAGTCGTTGGTAACAGGGTGGTACAGAAGATGGCATCAGCGTAGGATGCCAAAAGTGGAAGGCTTATGAAATGCAAACCCTCCCTTTCCCCATCTCCCTCAACCCTTGCGATTCTTTCATGATCCCCCTGAATGCCGCATCCCCTTGTCTGTTGGCATGCATTTCCTTTACCACATGACACCCTTTGCCTGGAAAGTTCCCCCCACTAGCTGAATCTGTAGTCTTTGAATGCCCTTTAATGAGTAGATACCATAGTTTTCACTTTGACCTCACCCGCCCTGGACTTAGTCCGCTTTGCATGATAGTTTTGCATTGGAATGGCAATAGTTTTGTTTTATTGAGCATGATTTTTATTTTTGGGGGTCAATCCTAATTTCTATTTCCTTTTCTTTCCTCAATGTCTGCTGCACCCCGTTTCGTCTCCTCCATCCATCTCGTCGCCGTGGTTACGCTGCTCCGTAACACTGCATTACGGTCCTGGCACACCCGCACACAACCACCCACCCTCCTTCCTTCCACCTCCACCCCTCCGCCTCTGTGCATCGTTATCAAAAAAAACTGGCGGATGTCGCGGTGCTTGTTGTCCAATTAGGGTGAAAATTCCTTCCTACAGGCGACCGTGGCAAAACTGGGACCTCTTCCTCGTATTCTTGCTGATATCACCAAATCAATGACCAACCCTACGCCGATACAGCAGCAGCTGAGGCGTTTCACTGAGCACAGCTCTAGTCCAAACGTCAGTGGCAGTCTCTCCTCAGGGCTTCAGAAGATATTTGAGGACCCCACTGATGGGTATGTAACAGCCAGAGCTCAAGGGAAGACGTGGGATAAGGGGGTTGGTAAGCCTGTTAAGAGTTGAGCACTTTTTCACCTGAACTGTCTGCCTGGGGCAGCTGTAGGAGGTGGGGAGCTTGGGCCTCTGTCACGGAGAATACAGTCCCAGTAAGAGGTGCACAAGGTGGCATCGGAGACCTGAAGCTTCTGACTTGCCCGGGACTCAAACGTGTCTCTAAGGAGTCAATGACTTCAGCTGCTAAAAACCGGTTGTGCGATTTACTGCCTGTCCGAGTGTCCGGATGCATAGTCAGCCATAATGTCTCCTTTTGGCGATCAGTCCGCTTCTTTACTGCTAATGAAAAAACTGGGCTGTAGGTGGAACTCATTACCGGTGGAATAGCAAAAATGGTCCTTACTGTGTTTAGTGCAGCATTTCTCACACTGTAATAGCCGTTAATTTGAAGCAAAAAGCTGTGACATGGCAGAACTGCCAAAGAGCTCGGATACTGTGGTCTCAGGGTAGTTCCTGTGCTGTCAGGTACGAAGGCCAGTTTCATCACGTGGAAGTGTCTGCCCTTTGAGCTTACATCTAGATCTACAGGAGCCTTCACACAGCTCCTGTTGAATCTTCAGACCCCCACCATACAAAATGCTGGCGAAGGGTTAAATGGGATCCAAACTGCTCCGGAGTCTTGCTGGAGACAGAAGTGTTGAAGGGGGAAGGGTTTGGTGGGAATGGTTTGCATTTCACCTGTGGAAAAAATAAAGATGAAGCACTTCTTGAATCAAACGTAATTCTCAAAGATAAGTGGTAATTAAGGAAGAGTGTGTTCTGACTTGAACACAAAGAGCTCATGAAAGGAAATCTGGTTCCTTGAAGCTTTCAGTTGGGGGGGAGGTTAAATGAGGTAGAAAGACTTCTCTGGGACAGATCTCTCGGGGTCTCGGCTGCTTAAAAATTAACCAAATTCCTTTCCACTCCACAGTGACTTGCATAAGCTGAAGTCTCCAACCCAGGAAAATGTAGATGGATATTTTAGGGGCAAGACCTTACTGTTGGTTCA